CAGTTTGAACCCACCTTCCACTCCATGGGAGAACGATGTGACAGTCTGTTCCCATAAAGATTTACAACTTTGGAAAACCCATGGAGCAGTTCTCCTCTGTCCTATTGGATCACTATGCATCAAGAGCTACTCAACAGCCATATATATGGTTGTTTTTTTTTCTTACTAACCTCAAGGTTGATGCTTTGAACCTACCCAGTGGTGCTAAGGAAAAAAGGGCTAGCAACCTGCTTCTGTAAAGATTACAGCCAAGAAAACTATGAAACAGTTTCACTCTGTAACACACCTAGTGGCCATGAACTGGCATCAGTTCAAAGGAAACTGGTTTGTTTTTTTGCTTGTTTTTGAGCCGAGACAGGGACAAGGGTTGGAGAAGATAAAAAAAATATATTTTTAGAAGATAGAAACTTTGTTGTTGTTGTTGTTGTTGACTACTATCAAGTCAGTTCCAACTCATAGTGACTCTTTATAGCGTTTCTGAGGAGTGACTGGTGGGTTTGAACTGATGACAATGTGATTCTAATGACCTTGTGGTCCAGTACTTTATTCTACAGTGTCACAGGATTTAGTAAATAATTTCCTACAGAAACCAGTACAACTGTTGCTTTGGGCACACAATGGACTAACCATGTTATTTTAGGAAATAGCAGATAGATCCCTGTCATTGCCTGCCAAGTCCTTACTAGGGAGGAGGCTGATTCCCTCCTTTCATCTCTGAGTTTCACAATAGTATACCTCCCTTACTCAGCACACATTCTATTCTATTCCCAGGATTCAAGATTCTCATTTAATATAATGATTCATCCTTACACAAGATGGACAAACTCTAGGAATTTTAGAGAAGTCTATTATCCATATTGCTAGCTGTGTTGTGGGATAAAATGGCCCATCAGCCTACTGACTGTTGTTGGATTAGCAGAGTAATTGTTGTTGTTGTTAAGTGCAGTTGAGTTGGTTCCCACCTACAGCAACCCTGTACAGAGTTTTCAAGAAGCAGCTGATGTATTTGAACTGCCAATCCCCAGTCCAATGTTGATCCTACCATGTGTTATACCAGGAGTCCAATACAGTAATAGGAATATGACTGTATATTTGAGATACAATATTCTAGATATAGCTTAAAGACAATTTACAGTCATTCATATGTTCAACAAATATTTATTAAGCACCTTTTGTGTTCTGGTCAGTCATCATTTCTAGTTTCATTGAACTTATATACTAGTTTTCAGGGGTGATATACACAGATATATACAGGAGTCCTGGTGTAGTGCTGTGGGTTAATATGCAGGACTGCAAAGTCAGTTTGAACTGCAAGATTGGTGGTTCAAGCTCTCCAGGTGATTCTTGAAAACCCTATACAGGGTCGCTATGGGTCGGAACTGACTCGACGGCACTTAACAACAACAATATACAGATATCCATAGTCAACATCGATTTTTATATGTTCCATTTCATTATTGACAATTTCAAAATTTCCTAGATTCATACTTTATACATTCCATGCTCCGATTATTAATGGATGTTTACAGCTGTTTCTCTTCATTTTGAGTTGTGCCCCATCAGCAAATGAAGATCCCACAGGCTTTACTCCATTCGCAGCATCACGGTCAATTCTACTTTGAGGAGGCAGCTCTTCCCCAGTCTCATTTTGAGTGCCTTCCAACCTGAGGGGCTCATTTTCCAGCACTGTATTTGGCAGGGTTTCTCTGCTATTCATAAGGTTTTCAGTGACTAAATATTCGGTGGTAGTTCATCACTCCTTCTTCCTAGTCCGTCTTCGTCTGGAAGCTCATCTGAACATTGTCCATCATGGGTGACCCTGCTGGTATTTAAAATATCGGTAGCATAGCTTTCAGAATCTCAGCAACTCACAAGCCACCACAGTACGAAAAAATGACAGATAAATGGTGGCTGAAAGCAGAGAATATCAGAAAGATGTTTAACTGTGCTTTATTGACTATGAAAAGGCTTTTGATTGTGTGGATCATGACAAGCTGTGGATAACATTGCAAAGTATGAGTATTCTGGAACACTTAATTATGCACATGAGGAACCTGTACATGGACCAAGAGGCAGTTGTTTGAACAGAACATGGGAACACTGAATGGTTTAAAATTAAAAAAGGTGTGTGACAGGGCTGTAGTCTTTCACCATACTTACTCAACCTGTACGCTGAGCAAATAATCTGAGAAGCTGGGTTCTAAAGAAAAACGTAGCATTAGGATTGGAGGAAGACTATTAACAACCTGTGGTATGCAGATGATACAACCCTGCTTGCTGAAAGTGATGAGGACGTCAAATATTTACTGATGAAGCTCAAGAGCACAGCCTTCGATATGGATT